ACTTGTATTGACAGTAATGAAGTCTATAATTTTATTTTTAATAATTAAAAAAATATTGATAAAATTTCCAAATAAATGTTTGGGTCACAATTACTAAATGGTATTGCTACGTAATAAACATAGATTTTAATTGTTGCAAAATTGAAAATATTAAATTTGTAAATAGCGTCCCAACTGAATAAAGTAATGAATAATCTGCCAAGTATTGAATAATGTCACCGTAGTGTGTCTGTAAAAAAGCAAAGTAAACTACAACACGGTTTCATCAGAATCAAAAGTATTAAATTTCTTATCGCGCTATGATCGCGAGACAGCACAGCGATAACACCGAGCGAGAAAATCGCGTTGTCAAAAAAGCTGCAATAACTTATTTGAAATTAATTGGGATTTGGCCGGTCATTGAAACCAGGAGAAAAAGATAGAATGTGTAGTATTAATGTTGTAGTAAAGGTTAAACATTCTACATTGTTATTTTATTCAATTGCAATTGTGCTCATAATAATCGCGAGAATACAGAGCTTTCACTCTGCCAGAGAATTCACTGCAGGTGGTAGTAAGGTATTGTTTTTCGCAAAATTTCTGTAAATATATATATATATATATATACAAAATTTTTAAAACCTCTGTTGGAATCACTTCAGAACGTATCAATTGAGGATTACTACAAAGCCCGCAGTTCAACAATTATTTATTTTTGACACATATAAACAAAAAAAAATCTAATAAGCAGGCTTAAATTAATAAATACAAATGCGTTATGGCATTCTGACAGTTTATGAATTAATTATACTTTCTATTTGTAAAATTTCTTCAATCTTAACACAAAATAAGAAAAAAGTGAACTTTTAAAAAAATTTGCGGGATTACCCGGGGTAAAAAAACAGCCGGGATCCCGTTTGAGAAACCCTAGTGGCAGCCTGTCGCTCTGGAGGACCCGAGTTCTAATCCGAACGGGTCGAAAAATTCCTAGGAATTTTTCGGGGGGTGGTCCGTTCGGATATGTCGTGCCCTGTCTCTCACCACCCGGCGGCCCCATTGTGGGCCTGGCCGAAACCATAATGGGCTTGCAAAAAGAGGCCTCTTAGTGCCTGCAGGGCGAAAAGAGTTTAAAAAACTGTACTATTTTAGATGCTGTTATGTTAGAAATCGAGCATATTTTTAGACTCATCTGAAAATTCTCTAATTATTTTTTTTTTTACTTTTTCCGCCCTGTGGGAACTAAGAGAACCTCTTAAAGCAGGCCCACAATGGGGCGACCGGGTGGTGAGGGAAGGGGCCCGACATATCCGAACGGACCACCACCCGAACAATTCCTGGGGATTTCTTGACCCGTCTGGATTAGATCCCGAGTCCCCCAGAGCGGTAGGCTGCCACCTTGACCGCTCGGCCATCCGGCCGTCTCTCTAATTATTCTCGGAAGAGGGGGACCTAATTCTTGCACCTGGTGAAAACGAGTAAGATCGCCTATAATCTAATAATCTTAATCTTTTCTATCATTACTTTTTGCCCGAGCAACGCCGGGCTCATCTGCTAGTATAAATATAATAAAACAAAATATAATTCTTTAAGTACAAAGTACCTAATAATATTTACTACGTATTATATCATATGACAAAATGTAAGCAAGTTTCATAACAAACCCGTCGAAATCGATGGTTTTATTCAATCAAAGTACGAGTTCATTTAAAATTTGGAATTCTATTAGAAAAAAAAAATACAGTACAGCAAGTGTTTTCCGGCCCGTTTGCAGATGGTTTGCGTCTGCTCTTCAAGTAGTTTGAAGCACCTCTCACCGGCCCTCTCTCTCAATGGCTTCTTTTCAATTTTGTATCCGGGTCCAGGGTAGCAATTTAGCATTCCTAAGGTCGACCACCTTTAACTGGTGGGGTTTAACAGTGAGGGTAGTGTAAGATAACAATGTGATTGTTTGCCTCACTGGTTATTATAAAACTCGTCCTATCAGCAGTTAAATTTATTTTTTATTTGGTAGATTTGTCGAGAAAGTCATCAATCAGCATTAACTAACGAATTGGACTTAGAATTTTAGGTTTTTTTTTTTTAATTCTACTATGTGGACACTAAGAGAGCCTCTTTTAGCAAGCCCATTATGGATTCGGCCGGGTGGTGAAGGACGGGGCCAGACATACACAGATGGATCACCATCCGAAAAATTCAGGGCATTTTCGACCCGTTCGGATTCAATCTCTGGTCTCCAGAGCAGAAGGCTGCCACCTTGACCTCGGCCATTCGGCCGGGAGGTCAATGTGGTGGAATAGCTAACACATTGATAACTCATTTACTGATACAAGTGACTGAAATTTAAATATAATATGTTTCAATTATTAATAAAAATTGTCAAAATACCCAATTAGTGCGCTTTCTACATTGAATTTCATTCAATAAAAATGTGGTTCGAATTAACAGAAATCAAACAAACTATACGAGTAAATTAGAAATGACATTTTTTTTTAAATGACCATTACCTTAAAATTATGTTTATTTCATAAATTTTCAAGTATTTTAGCCTGATGACGATAACATTCAGTAATGAATGAATAAGTAATGCAAACCATTTTCATGATTGCAATGGATTGTTATAAAAGAAAGTTTTTGCTAGCTATGGCTCGCGTTTTTATTTTAATGATTTGCTTAATTTTCCCACCGATTTCGACAAACTCTTTACCCAATCTAAGGACGAGACATTCGGATTCATTCGACTACTACCGAAAACAAAGCATGTTCGATGCGAAACAGGATCCTTGAGAATTTGAGATTTTCCAAAGAAACGCACGGCGATGACATTTACTTGAAATTTTTATATCGGTCACTACGTCGTACGACTAAAGACATAATCTACCTGAATTGGACTTTCGATTTTATTCAAGAAGTCCAAAGATATATAAAATCAATCGAGAAGACGATTTGAGAGATAGTCTGAAATATTCGCATCAGTTTCCCGATATGTTGAAACCAAACACCGAATACTTGCAATTCTTATATCAACTATTGCATCGTTCTACTAAAGCAGATGTCCGGATGCCATCTCAAATAAAATCTCGACACCATCTCAGGGAAATTCCAACGACTACGGCTACACCAGATAAATCGAGAAACGAAATAATTCCAACTTCTAATCAACGGGCCGAGATTAAAGACAGAAAGAAAACTTATAGAATTGGAAGACCTCACTGAGAAAAATGTCAGTTATGAGCTCGTGACGGTCGAGCCCACTATCAATATGGACTTTACTACGATTTACTCGCATTTGTGAGCCGCAGGGGAAGTCAGAAACCGTCGACTCTCCTTTTCGGCAACAGGTCGTTAAACCTACTCACGTGTCAAGATGGCTAAATTTCGAATGCGGTCCCGAAGGGTCGGGATGCTTTTTGTCAGATCGAGTGGAGGAGGTGAGAGGGGTCGTCGACGAGGCGTAGGCGATATGCGAGTAAACAACACCATTTAACAATGAGAACAACAATTTATTAGATTAACGGAAAAAAAAAATAGGTTACAAAATCTAACATGGGGGGAAATGAATGTAGTTCACTATTAGCTCCTAACTCGCGGAGAGAGAGTTTACATTGATTTGTTTCATACCTCTAGTCAACTTCCACGTAGGCACAGAGTTCGACGCACAAAGTTAAAGTTTCCCGGAGACTTAATCCTTTTAGACCATAGATGTGAGACTCCCCCGAGGAGGGGGAAAGAAGTCGCTTTTATAGCTTCGGACTGGGGAAATTAGTCAGGTGATCTCCTATTGTGTGAGATAGAGTTGGTCTTGCAGGTGTGGAGGTTAAAGTTGTTCCCGGGACCCAAAACAAAATGACGAATTCGGACTTTAACTATAAACTTTTTGTCTTGCAGCAGAGGAATGTCATTGTTCGAGGGTTGAATGTTTATATTAACGATGAAAGTTATAAGTTTCGAACGATATATGATTCTTTTTTCTGACAATGTTATTTTAACGAGGAGGCGACAAATTTATTTTAAATACGTCGAAAATTTAGGGGGAAAATGAACAAATCTGGGCTTATTCTGAGGTCGGATCTCACACATTTATCACTTCGCGAAATTAACCAAAAAACTAACCTATTAATAACGATGACAATATTTACTTTTATAATTGTTGTCATAATGGTTCCACTAGTATGCAAAATTTGCTGGTACCAATCCCAGTTGATAGAGGAAAAGAAGATATAGCAGTTTTCAATTCTGCTGTTAGAAAAAGTTCTTGTGTCGACAATAAAAGAATGTTATGGAAACAAACGGATAAAAAATCTGATCCAGTTTGTGGAAAGGGGGTGATAATTTATGAATATATTTTATCAATTGATAATTGAAATTGATTTCGTATTTATAATGTTACAGTTTAGTGTTTTGAAATAAATACAGTATTTAACTTAATCACATTTAAATTTTCTGTCTAGTTGCATTACAAAGATCATAGCTATTTATAAAATATAAAATTTTTATTTTTATTTTATTAATTATATAATACAAAGCTGCAAGCTATGAGGAGGGTGCATTTCTCAATATGGCAATCTTACTATATAAAGCTGAAAATTCGGATTTTTCTGTCACTGTATGCCAAAAATGGCCACTAGGGGCGCCCTAGCATTTATTTAAATTAATTTAAATTAACAATATAAATTATTTTATATTTATTTTATATTTTTACAGTATAATAATATACTGAGTATTATTTTTATTTGTATTATAGTATGCCCCGATGCAGGCATCGGGCATACTAAAATACAAATTAAGTTTAATTACTCGTCATGAAGATAAAACGTGAGATTGTTATCGAATAAGATACAGTTCATTTATTTGAGTAACACATTTAATAGTACTGATGAATGTAAAATGTTGAATCTTCGAGTTCCTGAACAGTCAATAACACGCGAGTTTCTTTTATTTAAGTTGACTTTGAAAGTTTCTACTTGAACACCAACTAATAAATTTAATATAGAATAGTAATTAACATTTTCTGCATTGAAGTAAGATTTATTATTATAAACCAGCACTTCCTGAATTTTGAGCCATGACACAATTTTTATAACAGAACAACGAACTTTTGCGATCGTTCTAGTTGGGATCTCTTTAGTGGAAATGTCTAGAAATAAAAAGGATCATAGGTTCTCCAGATAGATGAGCGTTGTGACTATTTGTAGAATTAGAAAATTTACACACGTAAGAACCTTCGCGACTCCTCAGAAAATATCGGTAATTTAACCAAATTATTGATCATTTTTGAAGTATCATTCCAGTTCCTCTTAGCTAAAATTTCACAAATAAAATTATATATAAGAGTGCATTGCCTTAAGTAGTGCTTATTTTCGGTTATAATTAAGAATAAACTAACTTTGTGCTCTTTTGATAGAAAATTGATTCACATTTTTGTGCCTTGGCAGAGAGAAAGTTTTGAAGATTTTTACTAGGATTTCATTCTGTGAATGGCTATAAAATTCCGGTGGTTTGCTTAATAGCATAAGGGTAATAATTGAGTTACAACTTACAAATTAAGTCTAAACAATAGAGAATTTGAGTTTATTCAGGAAAATTAAAGAAAAAAGAATTTTTATAATTATTATTTAATTCTTCCTTTCGATTTTTGCTTAAAATTTCTTCGTCAAGTTTTGAAACTTTCCGGACTTTACATATTTCGCCTCTCAAGTATTTATCGCAACAAGCTAAATAAACGAAATGATAATATTAGAATGAAACATTTAATTTTTGAAAACCGACAAATTTTTACTTACAGCAACAAAATAATTGATCGTCTCTTTCATAAGCGTCGTTATCTTGGAGTATTTGACCACATGAACAACAATTTGCACAGTTTCTATGCCAAACCTTTAGAGAAGTGACATTGTTAACATTATATTTAACTATTTTATTTTTTTAATATTATAGTTTCTTACAGAATATGCTGTAATTAATCTGTCTGCACGGTATACTTTGCATTTACATTTATAGCATATATCTTCGTAATATAAGGTAGTCGAACATCCAGAATCTATACATCCCGGTGAATAATCATCTTGATTGGATCGATCCTCTAGAAGGCTCCTATCTTTGTCCAGTGATTTCCTATCAAAATATTTGAACGGATTTAAATTCTCCATATTGAGAATTTAAATGCACGTGTACAGAAATATATTCGTACCACTTTGAAGTAGTTGGGGATGTAAATCGCTCTTTTACCGTAACGACTGCTGGTGGTATGCCGTATCCGAAACCATTTGGTCCGAATATCAGAGGATAGCAAAATTTGCAATAAATTTCATCTTTGTGAACGGTTAATAGAGAGCTGTCAAGTGGACGTCTACATTTTGGGTTTGCTGCAAAACAAAGCAAATACTTTTATTGCTTCGCTCATCTACCCTTAATAAAGTACAGTAAAAAAAAACTTTCATAATAGGTAATTAAAGTAATATAAAAATTATATACTGTATAGGCCTTAGAAAATATTTGTAACAAATTTCATTTTGTAGCAAAGTAAATTTTTGTATTTACATTGTTATCAAACAGTAAAAATGCAAATTGTTGTTGCTACAAAATGAAATTTGTTACAAATATTTTCTAAGGCCTATACAGTATATAATTTTTGTATTACTTTAATTACCCTTATGAAAGTTTTTTACTGTTTTCACGGTGGGCACTAAGACGCTAACAGCGTAATCGCTCGGCCATCTGGTCGTACTTTATAAAGGCTAAACGAGCGAAGCGATAAGGAGACTTTCTTATCAGTCTGGAGATCCGAGTTGGAACCTATATCGGATCTTCAGATACATATTTTCATTTTTACTTTGGCTCAGAAATGCCGGCTCCCATTCCTTATAAAACAGTCATCGTCATTGTGAACGTAGTCGAATTCATGATATATATGAAAAGAACCTTTCGGAAAAAAGGTTCTTCCATATGTATCATGAAAAAAGTTAATAAAGATATAACTTTCATGAAATTCGCAATCAATTTACAGTTCAATATCAGTATGTATATATATAATTCCTGAGATTTTTGAACTCTCCCTGATGTTTTGAGCTTATTTCCCGTAATAAGCAGTATAATCTACTAAAGCTCACAAGTCAGTAAAATTTCTGTATACAGCCGATCGTAATAAATTACTGTAGATTCACTCGTTTTTCCATGTCATCCGAAAAAACACCCAGTTAACTCAGACAACCTTCATCCCCCTATAGGTCCGAGTTTGCGGGGGTTTACTATAAATAATTGAGAGTGCTTGATTGAATTATATTTTAACGCAATGTAATTTTTGTAGTGTAGTCTTAAACCGAATCATTTTATAATGAACGTCGTGAAAGTTTTTATATTTGCTGAACGGTTATTCGAATCGAATCTTTGGTGACATTAAATTCTTACCACAAGTATAGCAGATGGTATGCCAGGCTATACCATCCGAACGCTTTTCTTCATTAAAGAAAACTTTTTTTTTGCATCTTCCACAAAGTGTAACGGTGCCTATAACGTGGGGAGCTTCCTTCGCCATTGTCGCTTCTTCTTTATTTTTTTTTTTCTGTAATATGCACAATAATATTGTATATTTATATAGTCTCTCTATCTATCTATATACTACTTTTGTTTGGTTGTAATTAAATATAGGGGAAAAAACGACCAAAAATACTGCTACATTTTAAAAGAATCCTATAGGCTAAATGAGAATAGAAACAAAGTTTCGTTAAAATGGGGCGACGGCTTACCGAGTTATTGTATTTTTCTTTTTAAAATTAACGACAACGTTCTTTTTAAATAGCCTATACGTCATTCTGCTGATGGAATGTTTGCATTGTAGATCGTTTCTAATTTCATGTTTAAATTTGCACGGAAACGTTCTATTTAAGTATTTACGTCATTCCGCCGACGGAATATTCCCATAGAACACTTTTTTACTTTTAATTTATTCCATATACTTTGGGTTCGATGAAACGGCTGTACTACCCGACGAAAGGAGTAAGTGACCCAATTGTTACGGGTAGTCTAGTATGACATGAAGATACGAAAATTAATTGTAGCTGCCAAATACTTTTTTTTCACAGGAATTCTCCTTTCTATAATATTGCTACAATGCCGGAAAATGACTAAGAATGTTACAAATAATATTCTTCGTTTGCTTAAAATTCGCAATTTCTTGATGTTTTATATAAATTATTGAAAAACTCTTTTCATCGTTATATTATAACACGAACCTTTTAACACAATAAAAGTATTTTGCAATTATTTTATTTATTTATTACGACGTATCGGATATTTTAATTGAAACTCGATGAAACGAAAAATTTTACTCTGTTCCATTAAAATATTGAATAGGCGTAATACACAAAAATAAAACACCGTTTATTCTCTAAAGAACTTTGAGATATTGAAAAACAAATTAACATTATCTCGTGATATAAAAATACATGATTTATCATGGATTTTCTACTGTAGTCCATGATTTATCATGGGCGTCCGCAAAAAAATTTTCCAGGGGGGCAAAGCTTCGAGACAAATAATTACATCAATAAATTTTTATTTAATTAATTTTTTGGGGTGTTTTCACATGTATTGCATCAACCCATCCCATGATCGAGTGTCTAAGATTACGATTATAATTTGTGAAATTTTTTACTCGATCCCAGGAAGGGCAAGTGTCCAGTTTGTCCCCTCCTGCGGATGCTTATGGATTGTATATGTTACCGCTAAAGCTCGGAAACTCGTTAATGTGTAGATTAACTAGGGTGATCCGTTAAAGTTGCTAAAATTGTTCTATTTCTCAAATTACCTAGATAATGTGCAGATATCTAGGTAATCTGCAAATTACCTACTAGGCACTCGGTAAAGTGAAAATAAGATCTTTGCCACAAATAAATGTACCACAAATAGGTATGCTTGTCGCAGAAACCAATTGCTATGAAATTCAAAGTGTCACCAATCTTTAGACTGCACTAATAAGTAAGCACAATTGGATAATGTTACCTATGGTGAGTAAAATGGCGGGTCGTCTGATTCCAGCAAAGAGAAGAAAGGAAACAGTGGAGACGCACGTTCAAACCTAACCTAACCTATTCTAATAGTTTGGTTGGTAATAATTATGGTAATTTATTAGAATAGGTTAGGTTAGGTTAGGTTAAAACGTGCGTCCCCACTGTTTCCTTTCTTCTGTTTTCTCGAATCAGAGACGAGCCGCCATTTTACTCACCATAGGTATAAATACATTAACTGCACAATTACATCATGCGATCACCAGAAAAAGTATGATAACTTTATTATTTTTCGTCTCCGGTCCAAAAGTAGGGTATCGTTGAAGTCGTCTCGGTCCCCTCAGTTCAGATATATACTCAAAGTCCCGAAATTCCATAGGTGGTTATCTATATAATAATTTCCCTAATTGTATTAATATTTTAAACCGTTTGATTTTTGTATGTTTTTTTAATTGGTTGATGATTTACTCTATCAACTAACTTGTTGATTGTATTAACTTGATTCTTTAGATATCGAAAATTAAATAAAGAACATTATGTTAATTTAAGCGTACAGAAACGTTGCTTTGTTTCAGCAAAGATCTTATTTTCACTTTACCGAGTGCCTAGTAGGTAATTTGCAGATTACCTAGATATCTGCACATTACCTAGGTAATTTGAGAAATAGAACAATTTTAGCAACTTTAACGGATCACCCTAGTTAATCTGCAGATTAACGACTTTCGAGCTTTGGCGGTAACATATAGATTGATATGTCGTTATTCATCTTTCACTCATGTTGGCCTACTCCATTGCAAGTTAAGCTCATTTGTAATGGATAAAATTAGGTCTACTAAAAGCTTGAATATATTGATGCATTAACTAATACATCAATAGCAATTAAGCTTATTGTGTTAACTGTGTGTTATTGTATATACAGCTTAATTTTTTTCGCGTTCGTCAATATTTAGTCAATTAAAACGAGCAATTATTTATTGTGACATCGTCACAATGCCAGGCTGCAATTTTTAATCATATTTTTAATGTATTTAATTTAAAGTATGTGCTTTTCACCCCAAACTAGTACTGGGTTGCCCCTGTACGTCATACTTTTCCTTTAACAATAGTCTTTCTAGTAATCTAACACCTTATAGATTTAAGTTTTAGGGTAAAATTTTTGAAGTGAACATGACTTCCAGTTTGCATCGAAAGTTCATATATAGTTAATCGGAACTTCCTGCCCCTAAGGTTTCTATATCCGGTCTCGTCTTTCATCTATAAACTTTGTTCTCGAGATTAAGTAAAGACGGGCGGGCGTACGGACGGACGGCAGTGGGAATTTAAAGATCTACAATTTTTTTCACATTACAGCCCAATTATTAATCGACTTAAAGAAATTGAAATTGTTACTTACTTTAAAAAATAGAGAACTAAGGACTTAAGCAAGTTTTCTCCATTAATAATCAGTGAAATAATTTTGTAAATACATTATTTTAGATATTTTCATTATTGCTTTCTAATAATGAAATTCTATGTTTCTTAATTTTGACGTAATTAAGAAACACGTCATGAAATCACATTCAAATGAAATTAAGAATCACGTTGTCATTTTGCACAAAATATAATTTGTTAGCATGATGTAAAATTAATTATAAGCTAATAAAGTACTTGCTTTCTTTTTATATTCAGCTTATGTAAATTATCATAATGAAACTAGATTAAAACTATATAAAATAGGAAAATTAAAATAAATGATTTTCTCCAATACAATAATTGCATTGCATTACAAGTAACTTATTTATAGTTTATGAAACTTTAAATGCACAGTGCGAAACACAAAAATGAGTTTCTAGAACTTGATGGGACCAGGGATCCGAAAGATCCCCCGGTCCCATCAAATTCGGATAATCGAGTTTCCATGTATATCGTAAAATTAGACAGACAAACAGTAACCAATCAGAGATTTATAATTCACTGAATGACTACAATATTATAGGTTTCTTAGAATGTCATTTTCCTTTATTTTATCTTCCCAAATCTCATTCATCTGTGATAATCATCAAATATAATTTGTGCTAACATAATTTAAAGAATTTATAAGAAAGTACATTTTTCTGCGGAAAAATTAGACTAAAGCTTAGTTCACACTGAGCGCGATTCGCTGGCGAAAGCGAAAAAAACAGAGCGAATAACCGGTCAAACCTGACTCGTTTGACAGATTATTCGCTCTGCTTTTCGCTCTCGCCAGCGAATCGCTCTCAGTGTGAACTAAGCTTAACAGTAATAATTAAACGTAAAAAAATTTTGTGTTAAAACAAAGTAAAAACAAATTAACAATGAACATCTACTTTCATGCAAATTTATAGTTTTAATTTTTCATAAACTAATTTTAAGTCTTTTAAAAATTCTTTCTTTTGTACAGTGCTATTTTTTACACGATTAAAATGTTTTTCTCCTCTCTACGCGAAGTCTCCGGTTTTCTGAAGGAACTAATACTTTTTGAGACTTAAGTATTTTTTAAAGTATTCGTAGTTATTCCTAGACTAGATATGTATTAACAAGGAAATTTTATTGAAAGTCATCATAAAAAAAAGAAACTTTTACACGCATTACCGCGTAACGGAGAGAGACAGACAGATACTGTATATAGGCTACATTGTCAGAGTTTCTCACAGCTAAAGACAGGTCAGTCAGTCTTCCCTGTTCGCCTTTATCGTAAAAGACTCGTTTACGATAAAGTTCACCCTTTAATTTTCGTATAACCCCTGCATTATACAATATGCAAAAAGCTGAAGTCGGAGTGAAAAACCTGCGCGAGGTACTTGCGGAAGAAACACGCCGGCAATTATCTTGAAATATTATTATTTAAACTCATTTACTTTATACCAGGAAAAATGGAGCTCGATTTTACTGTAATTATTTAACTAACAGTACTTATTTAAATTAATAAAACTTAAATATTCTTTTATGCCAAATCGTTTTTAAAAAAATGTGTAAATAATAATAATAATAATAATTTTATTTCTTATTTATATATTACTTCTTACATTACTGTCTGCAATACTCCAGTTCATTTTACCTGTGTTTAATAGTCTTTTAGCTACCTCTTCAGTTAGCTCTATCATAATCATAGTGTAAGAGGTCTGTGATAATTTTTACAGAAGTTTAGTAACATTTAATTATGTACGTAATAAAATGTTTCTATGATTTGTTTTTCGTTCGATATGACTTCCCTTGTTATATATAAATTTTAAGGAAATAAAAAAACAAAATTTTTGCTCTTAACGTTTATGATACTATCCTTTTACTAGCTACTAGAAAAAATTAAAATATTTTATTAAATATAAATAAGTTTTAATAAAAGTTACCAAAAATTTACAAAAAATCTCTTTTTCTTTGACAATTAAAATTTCCTAGATCTAGGAGCAAATCCCTTGACCCGGCAACATTGATGCAAAATTAAAATGTGTGATATCCCAAGTGAACTTTAAACTAAAAATAACGCTTATCATCGATATAGATAATGAATAGAAAATATTAAAAAGATAAGAGACATAACGCTATTACCAAAGGCGTGAATAATAACATGAGACATATCCAAAGCTGTTGGAAATTGTTATTTGAATTAAGCAAAATGGACTATTTCACAGCTATTCTTTTGTTTTCTTTCTTACTTCAAGTATCTTTGAGTGGTAAGTTTATTATATCCGTTCATGTATATGAGAAAGAATTTATCATAAATTTAATTATCATCATTTGACATTTCTAATTTCATTTTGTTTTTACAATGTTTAGAAATAAAAAAAATTAAAGCAATTTTGTCGCGTTTTTAGCAATATTCCATAGTTATATATATATATATATAACTGAAAAAATAAATGAACAGTAAAAATTTATATTCAATAAATCACTTCTATAAATACTTATTTTATAGTTATTTGCATCCTTCTACATAAATTTATTTTTTTCAGTCAGTACTTTAAAAAATATCACCAATATAATTCAGATGTTAGAAACTTTATTCATTTGAAAGCATGACAATGAATAGAGAATACTGTATTATAAAAACATTAGTTTCGGAAAATGCTTTTACTTTTTAAATTATTAAAATTTATTATAAAGAAAAATGTTTACTAAAGTATAAGCTAATGAACAGTTAGAATTTATGATCTATTCGATTGGTAGAATTTTCTACTATAATTGTATAAATACTATAACTAAATACTGTAGTTTTTTTAATTGGCCATTTCGGTGCAGTAACCTATACAGAATCTCTCTAATACACCAAAGATAATGTTATTAAAAGTGCGATTTACGATGGCTCAATGATCGTTTCTTGGAATCAATCAGATTTTAAAAATAACAGGTTTACTACGTGTACAGAGTGGTCAATTATATATTTAATAAATAATAATTAAATTAAATATATTTATAATTATTAAGTTAAATTAAAAACTTTAATTAAAAAGTTTTCCTATTCAGAGCACTCTGTGCTGTGAATAGGAAAACTTTAATTATGGCCACACTGTAGATAATCTATGGATATCATATGTATTTTATATAAATATCTTAGCTTTCTTACTTATAAGAATATATTTCAAAAATAATTCTTTATACCATTTTATTATTCATTGGGTGCAATCTTTTTGATATTACAGATTACAGCTTTTTATTTAAATTAGTGACTTTAACGAAATCAAAATTTTTACGAGTTATAGATTAATAATGCTATTCCATGCCCATTTAGTTTATGGTGAAGTGATGCCTAATCCGTATAGGTAACTTAAAGAAATCACACTTCTTCCTTGAAGAAGTGTGATTTCTTTGTTATCACCGAGTATAAGTAACATCTAGTAGTTAATATATTAACTAAATAAATGACTAATGTAAAATATACACAAAAACCTTGACAGATGGCTGTTCGTTCTGTACGTGCTACACACATTAAAAAAATCAGGTACGATTAATGTAACTTTTTGATCAATTTATGAAGCTTGTAAGTTATGATCACATTAATTCTCATTAGATCCGCCATCGCATGACAGCGATATGGTGTCATTTTACGAGTATACAAATAATTAAAATCTATTTTAAACTATTACATAACAAGCTATCGTCGTTTCTGTTAATAAAGAATGATTTTGCTTCCTCTGAAACCAAGTACTTATAGAAAATAATGATCCAGTGCATGAAATGAATTCATAAAAGTTGTGGAGCATACTAAAAAGCATGCCATCTTTTATTGTTTTATTGTCTCAAAATATGATCTTACAAACGAACGAATACATTATTTAATACTTAAATAATGTATTTGTTTATGCAAAATAATCAAATATGTCAAGTTACAATTTTCAATGTTAACTTGCGTACTGGTGAGTATCAAATAGAGAATATAAGACAACCTGAGTAATACTATTTTGGCAACTCTCCCCTAATTAGAATTAAAATTATGAATAGATTTTATAAATAAAATAGGTGTATACGTTCAATAAATGTTAAATAGTATACGTATTATATACATTAGTAATAATAAACACAAAATTCTATATATAAGTAATGATTTGTCATTGTATAATAAGTTATTTATCTTTTCCTGCTAAAGAGTCTTATAAACATCAAAATTACAATATAAAAATAATGAACTAATTAGATATTTTTCAGTTTTACATGAATAAAGTACTGCAGATGTAAGTCATTTCGCATGTGCTACAAATTAAAACCGATTTATCAACACTAGATTGTGTAATCGATATCTGTCTAGTCTGTGTAGCCTACTAGATCAAATGGGCAACTACTTCCTGGCCTCTCGATACGTCATACACTATCGATCAATGACCATCTACTAGACCGAATTAGCACATCATCTCTATCCCCATGAACACCTCACTTCCAACATGAGTAATGGATGGGAAAAAATATTCTGATTCGAATTATCCACAAGCAACTATTAGCACATTCTTATATTTCCCCAGTGAAATAAGATAGAACAAATTATTAGTAAATTACAGGAGACAAGCCAGGTATATATCGGTTTGATTGATATAATTCCAATTAATTTTGTGCTTTACTACATCATTATATAAGTAGTATATTATTTGAATAACAATAAAATATAACAATGACCAATCAGTGATCAGCATGCCCTATGACTTGTCGGATGTTATACAACTTTGCAGCAGGTTTCTTATTGGTTGAGCGGTTATCCAATAGAAATCTAATGCCAACCGATTAATTGAACAGATACCAATCGCTGATTGGTTAAAGATGACACCAGTAATTATATAAGAGACCCGTAATTAGCTGTTTCCTGATTAACTAAGATTGATTATCCGCCATAGGTGATCTAGGATTTATGATCTTTAACTGAATAACTCTGAAAAGAGTTATCCAGTTAAAGATATCTCGGATAATGAGACATCTAGAATTGATTGGTTAAAAGTCACAGACATATCCCATAATACGGAATAGAGATTGGATGTAAAGCGATTGGAAAAAATAAGATATAAAACATTTTTTTTTTTATTTTATATGCGTTACATTTCTCATAGTCACTTACTTAATTAAATATTGAATCGTATTCGATTGTTTTTTTTTTAAATTGCGCTTTTTGGAAATCTGGGCAGTAAATCTCTTTTTAACTTCGATGATAAAGATTTTTGCATAAGGAATAATATACTAGCGATGTATATATAGCATATATAATTGACGTTAATTATCTGGATGGCGTAGGACGGAGTATTTTCCTTTTTTTTCGCTTAACGCTAATAAGTAAGTCATATCTAGACTATTTTGGGCAAACATTGTTCTTTTTTTTTGCGTTTCTTGCTGTAATTAGTCTTATCACTAATTTCTAATAATTGTTTTAATTAATATAAGTTATCAAAAAGAGAAGTGAAAGAAAAGAAAAAAAAAGGCTTCCATTGTACCACTACATATGCTAATGTATGAAAAATACCAACAAAACAGGATGTAGTTACTATATACGAGGCTTAACCGGAAAGTAAGTACCGTTTTGGAAAAACTCGCATAAAAAATATTTTTTCAAAACAAAATTTATTTTTACATGAAAGAGCATGTCTGAAACTATTTTTCTACATAGTTACCACCATTGTTCAGCCATTTGTCATATCGGGAAACCAACTTGTCTATACCCTCTTCAAAGAAAGATGCCGCCAGTGAAGACAGCCACTGCTGAACATCGGTTGTTGCAACAATATCATGCAAAACAGTATTTGAAATTTGTGGAAACTCATCACAAAGCAATCTTATTGTGAACCGTCTGTTTTCAGGAATTTTTTCATTCACTTTTGCAACCAAACCATCATTGACAACAGAAGGCCAGCCACTCCATGCTTCGTCATGAACATCAGTGCGTTCAGCATTGAATTGTCGAACCCACTTTCTAACCATTCCATCACTCATTGCATTTTCACCATAAATCTCTACAAGTTGACGATGAATTTCAACTGGCTTAACATTCTTTGCGTTCAAAAACCGTATTACAGAATGCACTTCACAGTCGGCGGGATCGGCAATAGTCTTAAACATTTTGAACGCTCACTAACACGTGAAAAAACAACACAATCCGGCTGTAATGGACTGATAATCAACCAGAGAGACATGTGCGCAGGCGCTGAACTGCGATACTACCACTGCAATGGCGGTAGAACGAAACGGTACTTACTTTCCGGGCACGCCTCGTACATACAAACCGAATATCATAAGTCATAAATGGAGTTGGTTATCGATTTCAGCTGCTTTCTTTGGATGTTACTACCAGCGCTAGATTGTGTCGCTAGACAACAGAGTTGGAGAATGTCTAGATTTATATGCCAGTCATCAATGAAAATTTGAGCATAGCAGAGAAAATGGGCATGTGCTATTTGAAGTGTGTATATGAACTAGATCTATATCATAAATCGTTAGAGAACGGGAAAAATGAGTAAGTAGTGAAGAGTTACCCTATGTGATGAATTTTTGCACAAACACTATGGAACAGCAGTTAATACAAGGGAAATATTGTAGAAAGGAATATATATCTACAGTATAAGAATTTACAGAAAACTTGACTTGTGCAGACCATAAACAGAGTGTGGTATACTCAAGTCTGAAGAAATCTGCAACCATGAAACTTTTTGTACCACATTGCATCCAAGAAAGTTTGTAAATAAAAATTTGCAAATAAGTTTTAGTACTTGCCGTAAAATCCGTTATTGAGTCATGGTCTTCTTAACGTTACCAAGTCACACAAGCAACGTCTTTATTTGAATGCTTCGAATGTTTGAAAAGTTAATAATAAAAATTCTAAATATTTTTGTTATTAACTTTCCAAAACCTCTGGAGCTAGACATTGAGTGTTAAGATTATTCTAAAAGGGATAACAATTCGTGGGACTGTGTCTCGATTGACATCAATTCTTTTTAATTTAGTAGATGAAGTTAATAAGGCGGTATTTGAAAAGTCGTTTAGACTAAAATTTGGCAAAGCATATCAATATCAAACTATAGATGTGTTAGTAGCTCACTTTAATGAGAAACGTTATGACAAAATTGGCGAAAACGTAAAAGTAAAATAATCGTAAGTGATTAACTAGTAGTGTTCAGGACTAATATTAATTGTAATAATGGTTACTCTGTATAGCCAGGTAAATTTGGGCACACACAGGAACTCATGATTGATTTACTGTAGGACG